CCTTCAGTTGTCGCTTTATATGTTATATATTTCAATGTGAAGGTTATCATAAACCAGAAACAATTCCTACTGTACCATCCATAACCCGACGATGACTCTAGTTCCAAACTTCAGTAAAAAATCTGGTGCTCTGCCCTTGTTGTTCATATTATCGCTATATTTTATTACTAGTATTACTATCATTACTATTAAAATAACTACTATCAGTATCTGCTAGCTGGAATCTCATCACCATCAGTGCAAATGCTCACGTTGTAAGAAAGTAAGGCAACTTTCCATTTTCATAGAAACAATTCTATTCAGCAAATTCAGGAAGAACTCATTTCATCTAAAGCGATGTAATTCATAACTTAAACAGTTTCCTTAACTGACCATGATTAAATGCCCACTCTTAATCATTGTTACCGAACCAAACCAAAATATTACCAAACCACTGATCATATTTTCTTCAGTAAGATAAGTTCGCGTCAATGGCGATGTGGTTGAAATATTACGATGTAAAGACGACAAATGTCAAGAAATGATAATGTTTTAAATCCTCACCTTGCCAGCTTTCGATCATTGACATCTGAAGATCGTAGACAACTCTGGATAAGCAGTTGAGCGAACACATCTCGCTGTAAACAGTTCATTTCAATGTGAATTTTTCATTTCTCACATTTATATAAAAAGAAATGATAAAATGTTGGCAAATATATTAAAAAAACTCATTCATTTCAAATGATAAATTTTACCTGAGCTGTACTTCCGCCAAGTTCGAAAATCTTGTGTCGTGTCGGAGCAAGATGTTGAATCACTTGTTTAAAATCACCTTTACAATAGGATGAAATCGCCTCTAAGACGGAATCACCCACTTGACGCATTACTCGATGATTGTCACCTTGTCGATCACTATGAAAAGTAGCATGGATAACTACTACTAAGATCACATACGTTACGAGTAAGAATAAGATCACAACTAGGATTTTACACATACGTAATCCACTACGATCAGAGAAGGAATACGAGCAATAATAATATAAGTAACAATAACTAAAAGCTCAATTCAACGAAGAAAACAAACCTAATGAAGTTTCTCACGCTCTTGCGATGCTTCGCGCTCAACTCATCAGCCTCACAGCATTCAGTTATCATTCGAAAATGAGCATCATTAAATGCGAGAATATGATCTGTAATGAATGAAAAATTCATGTCGTTCTATCTCATAAACACATATGTGAAGTTTCAACTGCTGATATAAGGAGACCATCGCGCAACCTATGAAACGAATCACGTTGGATTCAACATGAATTAATGATCAATATAGAGGTGATATATCTTCAAAAATCCATCTACATCTCTTCAACTAAACAAAATCAGAAATCCATCTTCAACTAAACAGAAATCCGTCTTCAACTAAACAAAATCCTTCCACAATATATATAATTTTCTGAAAGCTTAGAATGTGTTGAATCTAATGGTACCAAGAAATTGATATGTTGCTGGGTAAAATTGAGGATACTGAGCAAAATTGAGGATTTGCTTATAAAGCTATAGAACGACTTCGCGGCACCCATGAATTCATGAGACGTATCAATAACAGCTCGTTATCAGTAAGCTTAATATAATGTTCCATTTGTTGAAATTTGTAATCTGAATAATGATAATCTGCATTCGGTATTCAATGAAATTCTTCTAAAGAAACATCTGAAATCCACAACCATCAATATGTGCTTCAATAATAGGCAACAATGCCGTCCATCGTCTCTTTTCCACTTGAACTCCTTCCATTTGGAGACGAAACAGTAGCGATGCAGCATCAACAGTATCCAGCATTGCGCCACTTGACGTTGAACGTTTTCCGATTTCGCTGAATATCTTATTACGATATCCTCAGATAAATAATCTCCATGAATTTAGACTTAAGGATCAGCCAAGTTTCACTTTTCACTTATGCAGGAAAGCAACCAAATTAATAAAATTATCGACCGAACTGAAATTCTGTTCGGATGCCATCACTAATAATGAATATTACTATAAAAAATAGCACAGATAAACTAACTTATCGTATAACGTCAAAACCGTTTCGTAATCTGCCTTTTCCAAATAGAACAGTGCCGTGTGCCAGTAGTTGTGGCATGCGATCATGAAACATGGCTGAAAGTCATTAGTACGTTATTATTTTAGAATAACTCTTCCTCTGAATGTTTTTTGTACGCGGTCGGTATTACTGCGGGCTTGATCACTTATAATTTGATGAAGTCTTCTGATTTTTAAACGATGTCATTCAGTAATTTTGCTGGTTTTGGGTGCTGTCAAGTTATTCTCGTTCATCGCATTATATCACCAATAAATATAATATTTTACTTTGTTCCATTTGATCTGGTAGATGGGTACCTTTTAAACACACAGTGGATCATCTTATCCTATCATGTAATGACACCCTCTTATCGCTGA